CAGTACCTAAAGTTCAGTTAATTAGGTGATAATTTAAACTCTGGTAGATTTTGGGGACAGTAGTTGTTCTTTTTGCACTATTACATACTTATCCCTTTCATTTTCAAGTATGACAAGTGATGCTGTACGTTGGGTAAGCTGCCAAGGGGTTTGATTTTCAGAAGGTGTATGTGCGAGTCCCCAAGCCAGGCCCTCACAAGCTATGGGAACCACATAAATTAAACACCTAGAACCTGAAATAATTTTAGAAAAGCTCAGACCCTGTATTTGGAGGAGTTTGAAGGCACTTATGAGAGAGTCTGGTTTTGTTCAAAAAAGGTTCAGAGAAGCCTTGTGTTTCCCACTGCTTTTACTTTAGTTTTCTGCTGTCTATTAGCAGGCAGTGTTTGCTGCTGTGACAGTCATGACTATAAAAACCAAACATCTATGGAAATAGTCTTGATGATACTCAAAGGACCACATTTATTTGGGGAAAACAGCCAATAATTTGTAACAGAACCTGAACTCCTTTAATATAATGAGTAGTACTTAAGCAATTAATTGATAAGATATATCCATACATCAGCTCCAAAATACTTAGGTAGATACATCCCTTACCAGATATTCCCCATCACAAAACTAAGCTTGGTACATCATTATATTTTTTCTACTCTACAATGCTCGCTGGACTGGAATAAACAGATGACAGATGTTACTTATGATCTGGGAAGTCTTGCTAAAAGTGAGCAGAAATGGGCCAAAATCAGAGGGAGCCTTTCTGTTGATTGCAAAGGTCTTGCAATCACATCTATGGTGCTGAACATTTTATCTGCTCCTAAAAGTTGTGACATATATTATTAGCTACTATGAGATTTAAGCAAGCATATGACTGTCATGGTTTAACCCCAGACGGCAGCTAGAACCACCCAGCTGCTCACTCACTCCCCCCCATTTGTGATGGGGGAGAGAATCGGAAGACTAAAAGTGAGGAAAATCTTGTGGGTTGAGACAAAGACAGTTTAAGAGGTAGAGCAAAAGCTGTACACATGGGCAAAGCAAACCAAGGAATTCATTCCCTGCTTCCCATGGGCAGGCAGGTGTTCAGCCATCTCCAGGAAAGCAGGGCTCCATCACGCATAATGGTTACTTGGGAAGACAAACGCCAGCACTCAGAATGTCCCCCCCTTCCTTCTTCTTCCCCCAGCGTTATATGCTGAGCATGATGTCACATGGTATGGGATATCTATCCCTTTGCTCAGTTGGGGTCAGCTCTCCTGGCTGTGTCTTCTCCCGACATTTTGTGCACCCCCAGCCTGCTCGCTGGTGGGGTGGGGTGAGAAGCAGAAAAGGCCCGAAGGGCTTAGCAACAACCAAAAAATCAGTGTGCTATCAATGCGATTTCTCATCCCAAATCCAAAACATAGCCCTACACCAGCTGCTAGCAAGAAAGTCAGCTCCATCCCAGCTGAAACCATAACAGACACCCTGTCCCAATGCAAAGCATGGCAACTGGGTTTAAGGACAGTGTGCTTGCCAAATCTTCAGGGTATTTTTTGGTTTTGGGGGAAGGGGCTGGTGAACTACTGTCAAGATGACTTTAAAAACCCCTCTTGGAAACTGTCTGTATCCTCACCCCTCTAACATAACTGACTAATAGTTAGCAATAAAAAGTGTAATGAACACAATTAGCATTGCTGGTACAATTAGCATAGCTGGAGAATTTTTTTTTGGTTGATTTTGAAATATTTATGACTTTATTAATGAAACAAATAAACAGGACACCACTGTCCTGTTTTGATATCAAAAGCTCTTTAGCCTCCTGGGCAGGTAGAGCTTTCATATAAAGCAGAGGACAAACTTTCTGCTCTTAGCAGGCCATGCCCCAGCTTGAAGAGAGATTCCTTTGCCATTAAGAATCTTGCTAAGTAAGTGGATGTAGTTTTTCCCCTCTTCCTTAATCTACCACAGAAAACACTAGGAAAGATAGTAGTTTAATGCTTAAGAATCCCCTTTGCTACTTGTGTGTTGATAGGAATATGCTTTCGTATTTTTTTTTCTGTAAAACTGTGTAAGACTAACCATTACATGATAATTAACATGCAATTAAACATTAAAATTTAGCCAAGCATAGTCAACATACTTCCCTCCATCCCCAGAAAAAAAAAAGTAAGCAATTAATCTTTAAATCCTTTTTAATAAATGAATATTCATTCATCAATATTTTCATAAAGCATCTCTTCATCGTTCCATTTTACTATTCTTTTTTTTTTTTTTTTACGGCTGAAGAATACCAAAAATACATAGATGTGCCTTAAGCCAAAAAGACTGGTTTTTAGTTTATCTTTACAATGGGATGAAATCAACTTAGAGTTAAAACACCATAATATTTCTACTGTTTACTGACCTTTTGGGCTATAACATAAGATAGTTCCAGTTTTCTTTTTTTCTAATGCTTTTTACAACCAAATGATGTGTAAATGTTATTTATAGTAGTGTTGAGTTAGAAGGGAGTGATTAGCTATGAAATACATTACTCTGGTGCAATTTGGTTGAAATTACCATTTTTAGTCTTAAAGCCATCTATGGTTAAAATCATACACTGCAGCTCGCATAAAGGGATAAGAGCCAGAAAATGGGAGGTCAAGGCAAACACTGTTCTTAACACATGGTTGTGTGTGTGTGTGTCTGTATGTTAGGAAGTGGTGCTGGGGCCGGAGGAAGGGAATTGGCAAAAAAAGGCACAAAAATGCATGTTAAAGACGTAGTGTTAACCTTAAGTGAGAATTTCCTGGCTTTTTTCACATCAAACCAAGACTTGGATTCGTTCAAAGTTCAAGCTGCTTGTGCCCCATGGAACTCAACTAGACTGATGAATATGAAATCTCGTGAAAAAGCTGAAATGTGCAACTGCCCACTTTTTGCGATGAGAGGCAAGGTGGGGAGTACGGTTTGATGAAAGAGGCTGCAGTAACATGCTGCCCGCCAGTTGTGCAAAGGGTAAGAGAGGGACAGTCCTCAGAGACTCGGTTCTTTTGCCCATGCAGGCTCCCAAAAATGCACATTGCTTCTTTGCTCCGGCCAGACAGTAATTTTCCATCTGCTTGAAGATCCTGGCTGAAGCCACAGGAGAACTGATTTCTGCGGGACTTGGAGTACACATTTCTATCACAACTAAAAAGTCTCTTCTTGTTATTAAAGATCCCTGCCTGAACGGACGATTTCTAGGAGCTGGAGCTTGAAGAAAAGAGAGAACTGTCATTAAATCATGAGGGTGGGACCACTATCTTCTTGAATCCCATTTTTCAGGGTAGCTGTTTAGGGCACTTACTGAAAGACTTGCTCAAAGATAATTTAATTAGGGCAATTTTTCTAAAGCAAAGCCTACCACTTTTAAGTTTTATTAAAATCAGGTATTTTTTTGTTTAATTATATTTTGATATTAGGATAAAAACTTGGGAGGGCTTTTCAACAATTCTACTAAATATGAACTTTGGGAGGGTGTTAATTATTTAGTTACTTTGATTATAATGATGACAATGTGCTCTCTAATCTCTTCACAGTTCAAAGAGATGTTAGAGAACTCCTAATACACTGCAGTTTACCAACGGGAGCTAATACTGAGGAGCTTTTCAAAAGCAAGTTTTTCTGCTCCAGCTATAGGGGTTCCTTTGAGGATCTTCACACTGTATAGTCATCCGCAGGCACGGTGCTTAAAAACTGCAGTTACAGCCGCTTTGCACCGCTGCCAAGGATGCAGCAGGACTGCGGTGGTGCAGATCCTGCGCACGCCGGCAGCCGGGGTTACGGCGAATGCCACCAGCTGAGGATCGCATTGCAGCTTTGCCGCAAGGCAACTGTGCCGAGCCCATTCCAGTTCAAGGAGCAGCCCCTGGGGACGGGATGACGACACGGACCTTGCAACCCAGGTTTGTCTATGCTGAATTTCAGCCCAGAGCAAAGTTTCACAGTTCAGTTGCAAATAGGCAGGGGTGGGAACAGTGACGGACCGTACACGGCAGCAACAGGAGTATCATTGCTCTACTCGCAGATAAGTCAAGTACTAGTGAGAACACAGGTCATTACAGAGCCAAGGCAGCCTTTTCAGCTTCATCCCTTTTTGGTGTTTTTGGTAGATGCATATCCACACGTTTTTCTCCCATAGACACCTCTAACTAGTATCCAAAGCGCTCTATCTGCCAAAAATCCCCATCGATGTCCCGAGGAACTCTACATGCAGAGAACTGGCAGGGCCACACCTGAATTATTTTTTTTTTTAGATCTATTTATGCTACTGTATCTGTTGTTATTTGTGAATGTACATGATAGAAACACCGTTTACAAAAAATATATCTTCTTTTCTTTAGAAAGGTTTAGTTCTGATAAATAACAAATTAAGTTTACAGATCTGAAATTGGCATACCTTGACGACTACAATCTACTAGACTGAAAAAAGTTGGAATCCTGGTGAGGGAATGAATACCACAGTGGTCACATTTGCATGAAGGATATGTTTGAACATAGCTGATGCTGAAACAAAACATACTGTTTGCTATCTCTTGTGATCTGTGATGGCAGCACACTAGCTTGGTAAGTGTACGTGTATATACTTTAAGTATATAAATAAAATATGAAAATGCTCCATTACTGAATCAAAGTATCGGAAGTGCTCTATTTGCTCAATTCTAGAGAATAAAAAGTTGTAACATCACAGAAACAAAAATATGACATAGCATGCGGTCACGATAGCAAGCACAAGGAAGAAAAATATTGAGAAAATATACTTATATGCATATTATGCAAATATATTTTACATTAACATACAATGTTATAAGAATGTTAAATAATGTGAATGCATGTTTAAAAAAGGCTACAGCTAGGTGGTTTCATGTCGAAGTAGCAAATAACCTGAGACATCTTCTATGCTTTCACTGGAATAACAATCTTTACATCTACAGCAGATGTAGAACACATTGACAGTAGTTGAATTCTCAGCTAAATTATACTAAAAATGTGCTGTTCTCTTTCAAAATGACATGGCAGCTGGAACCAGTCCAAGGGAAGGAAAATGTGCTGTACATTTACAGTACTTACAAAAGATTCGTTTCACTGTTGATGGACACTTAAAATGCTTGTTTGAAATATTATGAACATGTATATGTCTCCAAAGCCCTAGAGCAACGCTCCCATGATCACTTTGCTTACTGCGTAAGAGAATGCAAGAGATCATTAAAAACTATGCCCATTCAGGACTGGGAAAAAACGTATTATGACATATACAAACCCAAGAAATTTTAGGAAAGAAAAAGAAATTTGGCTGGATGAAATTGTACGTGATGGATCTGCAATATAAATGACTTATTTTAAACTTACCGGTGTAACTCTACCACTTTTTGATTAGTGTGTATGGCAGCATTTACAAACAATGTTACTAAATACTGACTTTATACACGATTACAGCTGTTTGAAAATTTCTATGACAATCAAAGTTTTGTAGTGATAATATACAACACTTACTTTCGCAAGGCTTGTTGTTTTGACGACACCTGCCTTTCGATTTAAAAAGTTCCTCTGAAGTGCATCCTATGTTAAAGTGTCCATAACCTCAGAACAAATGTGTACATGTGTGTGTGCATACATACACTTTTGATTTGCAGTGTGTGCTTTTATATACACACAATTCTTTGCTATATGTATTCACACATACATGAGTATGGTCTACATAGTAAAAGTTCATATATATATATATTTTTATATATAAATATATATATAAACTCTGCAGGCAAGTAGTACTTCACTTGTTATAGTTGAAGTCCTTTAAAAAAGTTCAGTCACTCAGTTAACATAGTACAGCCAGTAAATTAAGTTGAAAAGAGAAAATGTGAATGGAAACACCATTCTTGACCATCTGTCGATGGCATTCACATCTGTTAGATCAGGGATTTTTATTTTCAGTTGTGAAGACCTTCTTCGTAAATGGCCCCTCTTGCTGTGGGAGCCTGTTCTTTCTGACGACCGCCTTCCAAGGCTTTCACGATGTGAGCTTTGTTTTCTGTACTGGATTCCTGAGTTGTCAAAGGATATCGTTGAATTTCTGGCATCCGTAACGCTGGTGGTGACCTCGTTGCTTGCCACCTCGTTGTGAATTTCAAGCGATGTTAGCAGAATGTTTCCATGGGTGTCCACCTAGGGGGGAAAAAATAGAAATATAAATTGTTTCAAAAGACTTGACATCTATCAGCAGAATGTGGGTGTATTTAAATCTCCAAACCCACACATATTTTAAGACAGCATTTACTCATTTTAAGCATGTGATAATCTTAGAGAAAAATGGCAATACTCAGCTGCTTAAAATTAGACAAGTACTTAAATACTTCTACAAACAGGGTTATCGTCATACCACCAGCATCCAGTACAAAACCGTATTTGGCAAAACCAATCAATTTCCTCTCCTTCTAAACCAGTCACGTTCTAAAGAATGGTGTGGTTCAGTGAAATCTCTGTGTGGCTGGTGGTGGGGGCAGAGGGTAAGGGATGGATTCTCTCTTTCCTACCTACATGTGAAATTTGCTAAAATCACAAGAATACCTCTGACCTGCTAAACTCTGCATTTTGGAATCACGGAGCTTATTTACAACCTCTCTCTTAAACTCTTCCTTACAAAGTCATTTGCACAGCTTTGCAGTCATGGCAATGTTTAAGTGCGGGGCTTTTCCACTTGGAGAGGTGATCTTAAAAAGCAATGAACTTAGACATGGAAGAAAGCTGCTGAACTGAGGAAACAGGCGGCACTTTTTACTTCCATCTCCATATCCAAGAGGCAGTGAGCACAGTGTTGAGCACAGATGAGCAACGTGATGCCTTTTTCAGTAAAAATGTGGACATTTAGAGTCCTTAAATTCTGTTCCAGATTCTCTAGTCCCCCTGAGTATCGACAGAGGAGGAGCAGCACAGAGCTGGATATGGCTCCTTCAATCCAGAAAACCTTCCAGTTCCCTTGAGTGGCATGGATGGGTAGTCCAAACGATGCTGTCTTGGTCAGGATCTGGTAGCTTCAGTGGTGCACCACATTCCCCTATACCCCATGCCCTGTATGCTGGAGGACAGGCAGAGAAGACAGCTGATGCAGGGATCAGCTCCAATTTTCCTGCCTGCTTTTGGGAAAGGAAAATAATGTCCAAATGTAAAATAAATGCTCTGTACTGGGTATTTTCAGCCAGTTAACGCATGTTTCACTGTTCAAGTAAACTTGGTTCCCTATGTCAGAAATAGATAGGAAATCATGGTATACAGGATAATTTCCAGGTTTACGTACACCATTCATTCATCCACAATTCATCCTGCAATTAATACATTTTTTCTAACCTGCCACATGATCTAGCTGTATTAACTGTGCAGCAGTTGAACATCTCATCCCAGAAGCATCTGTTTAAAAGTGGTTGAGAAAACACACTATTGACATGGCCTTTTGAAGTTTGTACAGTCATCTGATACCACGTCCTTTGCAAGCTTTGTGTGATGCGTTAAAAGTATGCGTAGCTATGTGTCTGTCCATATGCATTTAGGTCTTTTTCAATCCCGTTAAAACTCTGTAAAATGGATATTTCTTTCATCAATTATTGATGCTACAGCTTATCTTTTCTCAGTGAAAACAATTATGATAGTATATCAGTAATGCTTTGCCAAGCTTCTTGCAAATGGAAAAAGAATTTAAAATGACATACAGGCAAGTAGAAAAAAAATAATCCTAAAGTATCCAACAAATCCTGCTGTTGTAGGCAACAGTACATTATGCTGATGAATGCCTATAAATAAAAATAAACAACGTGAACCAAAATAATGGGGTGGAGAGGCCTCAGTGGTGATTAAGAAGAATTTATTTTCCCCATGGCAGAAACCCATTGGGTACAAAAGTACAAATTTGAGGTTTGTAGAAACAAGTTCATGCTGTTGAGCAGCATCTGTAACTGGGGAATACACACAGCCATAAAATACAACCATGGATACCATCACTACTTATGGTGGTCTCTGAAAAGAACTGATTCCATTTTCTCTGGTTTTATTTCACAAAGAGTACAAATTATGATCAGGATTTGTAACAACATTGTGTAAAATACCTCCACAGCTTTAAGTTTCTCATCCAGGCCTCCACAACATCACATGTCATCTCCTTTCCTGTTTCCTCCCAGGCTTTGAGAAATGTCCTTCAGCTTACTAAGAATGCTGCAGCTGAGACCATTTTGCTGGGCTCTAGCCTGACAGCACTGCCTTCCCCTTGCAGGTCTCTACTCCCTTTTCTTCCACCACCACCGATGTCAGCTGCTCCTGCCCTCAGGGCTTCCTGATCTCTCCAGATTCTGTCTTCCACCTACATATGCAGAGACATTAGCCCGTCCACAAGCACTTTGTCCTTCTACACCAAGCCCGGATTTTTGTAAGTGAGGTGTCAGCTGAAAGCTTGTATTCTGGAGGGTACACCTACATGTTCAGGCTTCGGCTGCCCAAGGAAACTACTAATTTGATTCCACTTATTTCATCACACAGCATAGCCTGCTTCACCTTATCTGCCAACCTTACATGCCACCCTAACGTAGCTTCTGCCTCTGATCTGCCAGTGATGCTGCCACTTTTCACTGCTTGTCACTGCATCTATAAATTGAACCAGAAAGGTGGTCAAGAAAGTTGCAACATTTGCGTAAATGCTTTGTCTGAACATACGACTACGTCCTATGAGGTTGTATGACAGCATTTATTTTCTAAAAATGTCAAATGAAACATATTTGGAAACATACTTTTGAAATGCATCTCTTTGTTAACAGGGCAACAGACTTGCATGCCAAATAGAAGGAAGGAGCAGATGGAAAGAAATGGTCTGCAGAAACTGAAATTAGGCTTCTAGTTCACAGATATTCCTGAGATCTCTTCCCCAAAATTATATTGATTCTTTCAGAGGTTTTGGATAAACCACCTAAGCTCTAACAAAGTTAGAGCAATATCTGCTAATGCTTTCTGACAATCTTAAGGTGATGTTGTGAAGTATGAATACTTAATGCAGGCAACATGTTAAAAAGTATTTGCACATAAGCATGACTTCTGAGTGATTTAGGCAATGATTTAAATGACTTTGACAAACGTACACAAGCTCTCTCAATGAATAGAGAAGCAAACCAATAGCGGCAGGGTATCACGTGCAACTCAACTCATGTTTGCCTGAATATACAGGTAAGGCAAAATCCTCCACGAGGGAACATGAGTGCAGACCGGTGGCTTCAGGGAAACTTACTCCAGGTACAGATACAGATTTAGAAACATAGCTTCATATCATGGCTACACATGATGAACAAGCCCAATGTCTTTGATAAAATTTTAGTTTTACTTGTTATGAGCCTTATAATTTTATCACTTGGCTGAGAAATGTCACAGTCTGTGCACTGGAGATTGTCCCCCAAATGTAAACATTGGGCTTTGCTCTTGAACCTTGTTATAAATTAGAGAGATGACATGGTGTATTTGGCCAAGTTCCCCTTATCCCTTACCATCATGCTTTAACCTAAAAATTTCCCTTGTCTTCCTGTGCCTCCATGACTCTTGTAGTCCCCTCTCTGCCTGACTGTGGCTCCACCTGATGCCAGTCATTCCCATTTGCCTGCTGTGGACTCCACTGCCGGTGCTCCCATCTCCTTCCCGACACAAGCCAGGGCTGGTTGTTTCCATCGAGTGTTTTCCAGTGAGCTCATCAAAACAGACGGAAACAGCTGAGTACCAAATCATTAATTTATGTACTGCTGAATCAGCATGGATCCAAATATGCAAAACGGATGCTCATATTTCAGAATCAATTTTGATCAAACCCCACCTGTCCCACCTCTGAACAGCTACAGCTCCTGCACCGGGGTGAAGTGATTGAATCTCACATAAATCCATTTGGAGGCTGAGAAGCACAAAATGCTGAGATGTTTTATACATGGAAAAACAGATTCACTTTTGAAGTTTCACCATTTCTGAACTATGTTACAGTACAAAGAAAAAATCCAAAGACTCTAGCAGCCTAACGTCATCACACAAAAATGACCATAACTTACCTAACTGAAGTCAGAAAAAGCAGAATTAAGATAAGGCTCACTAAGAACCTCTGATCCTTGCTTTTGGAGGAACACCACGTCTCTAATAGGCTCAACTTGGATTGTAGATATGAAACTTCAACACCCTTTTAAACCTGGAAAGTCCTGAATCTACTTAATTCTAGACAAGATACCAGTTCATTTGGATATTAAGTCTTATATTTTTAAAGAAATGCAAGCCAAGAGATGCTATTGAATACCTTTCTCCAATCAAGATTCTTGGAAAACTTCAGCTTTAATGCCACTTTGAAAACATTTTACTAGGGTCGGGAAACTACCATAAGGCTTGATTTACTATCAGGTAGTGTCTGAATTATTTCAGGTTCATTTACTTCTCTGTTTAATATTCCATAAATTTTAAGGAGTACTTTACAATGAAATCTCTTTTTCCTCATAAGTCTTTCACTCTACTACGCAAAAAGAAAGAAAGGAAGCATTTTGCTCAAACCCCATAGGCAAGTTTAGGAGTTCATTAATCCCAATTTTTTAAATACCATGTAAACACTCTCCATCATATGAAGCAATATAAATGCAAATAGCGTGTTTAAATAACAGCATGAAAAGCTGTCTCTGTAGTTAGTCTTGTATTATTTTACATCAAAATAACTATTTGAGTACATTATCCCACAAAATAGATCTCCCCTTAAAATTATAATAAAATGGAAATTACTTTTGATGGAAATTGTAATCTACACTCCAGCTACCTGATTCTCACCTGATACGCCCTGCTGCGAGCATCTATGGTTATGCAAGGGGCAACTATCTGGTAGCAGTTTTCATCTTCTTTACTTACGTATAAATGGCTTTCCAATATGTAGAACAGTAAACAATTAGGCCCTAAGTGTTATCTGTGCTTAAAGCAAAATTCATTGACCACATTATGCCTTGGATATTTTTAAAATAATTTAAAACTGTTAGTACAACAAAAATGATAGTGGTGAGTGTTCTCCTTGTGTCAAAAACTTGATACTTCTTATACTACCATTGTAATATGCTTATATTAATTAATAAGCACAAAAAAATGAAAGAGACAATTATGTCATATCAGCCTAGTAAGTGAACCCA